TGCATTAATGCTAAAGCAGCTGTAAGATCTTTTGCCCCCTGCTGGACACTATTTGCTTGCGTATATATAACTGCATCACCCGCATACATTTGAGCAAATATATTTGGACAGACTTCAGGTAAGTTATTGATAAAAAGAGAGAACAATAAGGGCCCAAGAACAGATCCTTGAGGAACCCCTGTATCACAGTCTAAACATGGAGATTGAACCCCGTCCAACACCACACACTGTTTCCTGTGTGAGAGATATGAACCACTGAAGAGCCTGACTGGAGATATTAAACTGAGTCCATCTGGACAACAATATCTGATGGTTTAGTCGAAAGCCTTCCTCAGATCTAAAAATACAGCTCCAACACAGGGACGCTCGTCCAGCAAGCTCTTCAAGTTCTCCACTAACAGACACAGGGCAGTATCTGTGGAGTGATGTGCCCGGAAGCCAAACTGCAGTGGATGTGATGAGGGTTGGTGTTTTCTAGGTGAGCAGTGAGCAGTTTAACCACCCACTTCTCAGCTATTTTAGATACGACCGGGAGTATGCTTATGGGGCGATAATTAGCCATGTCAGTCTTCACACCTGCTTTGAAAATTGGTGTAACTGCAGCAATTTTCCAATCTGTTGGAACAACGGAGTGTTCGAATGACATATTCAAAACATGAGATGTTGGACGTACGAGCAGATCCAGATGTTCCTTCAGGAAGTTTGTGTTAATACCAAATACATCAAGTGCTTTTGATTGTTTTAAACATTAGTTTAGCAACTTCAGTGTCTGAAATATGAGTGATGGTGAACAAATTTTGACCAGATTCATCCTGTGTGCATGAATCTGCGCTGGGATCGATCGATCGATCAATCAATCGATCGGTCGGTTGATCGATCGCTCGCTCAAAACCTTTTTTTGGTGAAACTTTCAAGGACACCACGACAGACGGCTGTCAGCACACTTTTATTGTCTCACACATGAAACTCTTCATCATCATCATCAATTATACAAAGCTTTTTTATACTGTCTGCTCAGTGCACCAAAAGTATGTGGACAGGTGTTCCCGCCAAAGGGAGGAGGGACTTCGATGTGACACTCGCCATGTGAAAGCAGCAGGAAGTCCATCAGACCAGTAAAGTTTCATCCAGTGAAGCTGATAAACAGTCGCTCTCTTTCACCAAAAACTAAGCAACATGGTTGCACGGTGATTGACAACATTTAGGGCGGGGCTAATGATGAATGAGGACTCGCCACCATGAGGGTTTCTCTGGTCGTGTCCAAATTCATGGGCTGCATCCTCCTGAGGACCCGGCCTTACGTGGGCTGCATCCTCAGAAGGTCGGGTAGGCCGGAAGTACACGGCTGTGAAATGTGACGGTCTAGCCTTCTGATTAGCGTCACCGCTGTGTGGGTGGAGTTTAATAAACTCGGCCGTCTGCTCCTTGCT